GAAGGAAGGAAGGAAGGAAGGAAGGAAGGAAGGAAGGAAGGAAGGAAGGAAGGAAGGAAGGAAGGAAGGAAGGAAAATCCAAAGTAAGTGGAACTATTAATTTTCTCAAAATCAATATTTTGTGTCAACATCTTTTACACTGTAAAATCCAATTAGTGATCATTACTTAAAAAAAGCTTGTAAACCAATTGCACTTAAAAATGGAGTACACTGAACTAGGTATTTTAAGTTGTACTAACTAGAGCTTTCTTTGTAGAGTACACTTATATATGAGTTGAAGCAAATAAGAAAATTACATAGCATGTACTTGATAATTTACTTTAGGTGTACTTGACTTAGTAGAGAATACTCAGAATTATTATTTTAATCTACTTAATCATTGGATGTGAACTTTACTTTGTTTGGTCTATTTAACATACATACGCTCTGAAGCTGAGCTCAAAAACATACTTCTTTCTGCATCTCTGCTGCAGCTAGGCTACAGAGGCAATATAATTGGTGGAAGCTAATCTGCTAATTTTCATCATATTATCATCCACCACATGTCAACATAGAGAACACCTTTACATAGTTAGCAGCTAACATAACTCTGAATGAAGTGATGGCTGCAGGCACCAGCATTCTGCTCCTCCCGACCGCAGACGGTTTAAAATCCACTTTTTACATTGTCGTTCTGTGAGCTTTCTACATTTTTCATCTTTGTATGATAATCAGTGTTATCATATGCTGTCATAGGGTTGGGCAAAATCGTGTGGAATTATTCATCAAATAAACTTTTGCTGGTTATTATTTGGCACGACCCAGTGATGTAAGATGTGTGTGGTACCAACAGCCTCAGCAAATCTTTAGGTTCTATTTCGTGTAAGCACCGCCCTCTAAGGCTATCGCTGATGGCATCCCTCTGTGTGCATGCGCTCTGAAAAATCAATAGTGCACGCCCACGTACTGTGGGCCCCACCTCGGTCCGTATAAAAGACCGCTCGGACCGCAAATCTGCTCCCTCTTTTTCTTCAACATCTGAAAAGTAACCATAGAAGACCCCGCCCCTGGCCAGGGTTTGCTAGTGACTCGCACGTATATGTTAGTATTATCTTCTTTTCTTAATCTTAATCGTTAGGGTCCAGCGCCATCAAGCTATGATCCGTGTACCGTCATTCTGGTCTGTTCGGGGTTTGGTTTACCCCGGCCTGACATGTTTTTTCTCCGGTCACCTTACTCGGAGAAGAGTGATCGAGGCTAGCTAATTTTTTTCCCACCCACGGGTATTCCCGGTTGCAGGACATTATGCTAAGCTTAGACGCTGGACATCCCTGTGCATGTTATGTGGACTCGGAGGAGTCCCCGTTCATGCAGTTATTTATCTCCGACA